AATAGAAGTCTAGAACTTTGTTCTTCCAACTTTGCTTTAGTCTTTGCACCAGAATAATATTGCAATTTTATCGTTTCAATAGGCGCGGTTGTGGCTTGAGAAACACTATCGGCGAGTCAAGGCGCGGGTTCGCGGCTTATCGGCAGTCGAAACACACGATCCTCATCAGTGCGCGACCACGTCCTCGGCCGAACCATCGCGCATCTTGATCATACACTGAATAACACAATGTAACTTGATCATGATTTAACATAAACTGATTAACCACACAAGGTTGCTCGAGAAATTGCGAACTTAAACATGACACGTTCGCTATAGCCACACGCACGGCTATACGGCGTGAAGCCGTTCATGAGCATGATTAAATTGATCGAAGCTACCGTAACTTAACAAAGGTAAACTGAAGTTACCTCCTTAACACTCGGCTGATCGTTCTAATTGATCGAGACAACTGGAGCCTCCGTGCGGTACTAAGTTATCGGCGTGCGATGCGCGGTAAGCTTCTCGTGTGCGTGCTGCTAGCTTGCGGTAGCTATACTTAGGAACTCAAATATTTCTAACTCTCTCAAGCTCTCTCTTATGCTGAATATATATGATGGAGGAAATATTGGGAAATTTTCCCAAACTCTACACTTATATATACTTACGGCACCAAGGAGGAGGATGACACAAGACCTTGGTGGCTTCCCCCATGAGTGACACTTGCTCCAAAATAAGTGGCTTTAAGGTGATTAGTCACCATAATATATCTCCTAAGTTGCCACGTTTTTTTTAAAAGGGAAGAAAAATTTGTTTTCCTTGAGTGAAGAATTTTAGCTACGGCTTTAAGGAATAAAAGGGAACAAAGCTACGACTTTAATTAACTTAATCGTGATTAATTTTCCCTTAATCATCCTTTTTACGCTTAATTAATTATTAAGCATAATACTTAATTACCAAAATTATTCCGAACGTAAACGGAACGTCGAAAATAATTTCGGGTAATCTCGACTGAAAATAATTAATTCCGAAAATAATAATCAACAATGTTATTATATCGGAACTAAAAACATGATTTATATTAATAAACTAATGGGATATTACATGTTAGAGGTATGCTGTAAAAGCTGTGTTTTGCAGTTTCTATCAATTCCATTTTG